ACCATGCATATTAATTACCTAATTTGCATGATAATTAGCTCATTTTTAGCTGTTCCATGACTGTTCCACTGATATCTAAAGAACCACTTATTGAATTTTGATGAAACTTGGTACATAGATGCTCTGAACTAATACCAGGCCTTGATTAGTTTTGGGTGAAAATCTGTGCATATTAATTACCTAATTTGCATAATGATTAGTAAATTTTCGGCTTTTCCACTGATATCTCAACTTCTAATCATCACATTTCAATTAAACGTGGTACCTAGATGTCATAGGACACTAGGTCTGTGTAGTGACACAGACCTAGTAGTTTTTAGGGTAATATCAGTACATATTAATTACCTAATTTGCATAATAAATTAATTTTTTGATATTTCAAGTAGTAAGCATTACATTTCAATGAAACATGCACTATGCAGAGATCGATTGTTTTGAGATGAATATTTGTGCATATTAATTTGCATAATTAGTTAATTTTCGGATTTTCAAGTACTGATCATGACCTTTAAATGAATCTAAACTATGCAGAGAGCCAATTAGTTGTTGGTATATATTTATGCATATTAATCACCTAATTTGCATAATTAATACATTTTAAACATTTTCACTGATATCTCAAGTACTAATCATCACATTTCAATGAAACTTTGTACATAGATACTCTAGGACAAAATACAAATATGACCAGTTTTGGGTTAAAATCTGTTCCTATAAATTCCACAATTAGCATAATAATTCATAATTGTTTGGTTCTGATCACATTTCAATGAAACTTGGTACATAGATGGTCTGTTACATTGCGCAGACCTTATTAGTTTTACACTCTGTTCATTTAAATTTCCTGATTTGCATAATTAGTTTTCAGCTTTTCCATCAATATCTTAAGTACAAATAATTTTGAATTAATTTTTACTGTGTCTCCGATACTCTCAGCACACGGGAGTTGTTTCTAAGCTTTTTTTTTATTTTATAGTTTAGTTTTAAAAACAACTTTTATTATTTGTTCATCTCTTGTATATTTATATGTATTCGCCCTAGTCAATCCTGTTATTGGGCTGTTCATCGTGAATATATCACGTGACATTTCACTCTGTGTTTACTTATTTGGTTCTACAGAGGTAAATTCGATATTATAGTGTTATATGACTTCAAATATAGGAACAATGGTGAAAGTATTTGTTATCTGTCAGTTACCACTTGCCATGTTTGTATTATTTACAGTCACGGTCATGTGCACATATATATCTGACATTCCAAATAACTACACCACGCCTAGAAAACAAAAGTCGATTTATTTTCTACTTCCCTCTTGACCCCACGCAGTCACTGCATACGTGTCACGAGACAGAGTGTCACGGGGTCAAACGATTTCACTTTCGCCTGTGGCAGCGGCAGTTAAGACCTGACAGAGACAACGCTTAGAAAATATATCTACATCGGCACTTGTTAAGGTAATTCTACCAGCGTTAGACATTATTAGTTAAATGCTGCTTCGTGCCATGGAAATCGCAAGTATTTCAACTTGAACTCACTTAATCAGGCGTTCATATACCTCAAATTTGGGTCATTTTTTTAGTGACAACTGAAGTTTAGGAATCGTATCTCTGGTATTTAGGAGTTTTAGATTTTCCTAAATCAAACCACTAATCATGAAAGTTTCGCCGATTACTAAGCGGGGACTAATTAATAACATGGGGTCACGTAATGCGAGTGTCTTATATCGCATGTCTCAATGTACTACTCTAATTACCATTTAGGAATTCTTTCATTTCGAATATAGTATCAATGACCCACTAACTCGGAGTGTCACGTGACCATTCTCTGTTGTTTATTTCTGTTTTTAATGATAACACCTGACTACATATCTTGGCAAATATGATAACATTATTTGCGATATATATTTTGAATACTTATTTTAGTAGCCATGAGCGTACGTATTTTGAGTATTGAAATACGTTTATGTGTCATCCTTTATTGACTATTGGTGTTCATTATTGATTGTTGGCATCTTTTATTGACTGTTGGCATAAATTTAGTCGAAAAGCGACAACAATACGCACCATTGTTTAGTTTCAAGGTACGATAACACTATTTCACCTATAGGTCATTCTAGAAGAGGGCGCTCTTCGTGATGCCGGTGTATGCAAACTACTAGTACGCTATGAACATATCATAAAATAACTGATATATTTACAGCTGACATGTACATTTTGTCACACAATCAAATTAAATGTAATCAAAAAAGTTTTCTTTGCAGTGTACCACGTTTATTTGCATAGTCAACAGTTTGTTATTTTATTATTTTCTCATCACTTAGATAAAGCCGCAACATGGGTGGATGTGACTTTTTATGGGGCATATTCTGGTTATTGGTTTTACTCTTTATCGGCTGGCCTATAGCGTCATTGGTAGCCTGGATCTACGTACTGTGTTTGCCGTTCGGAGTCTGCATCGAGTTCTGTAAAGAGTTCGGCGAAGTACTCATGACGATTATACAGTTTCCAAGAACATGCGCGGAAAATATGGTTAACCAGAAATCGCTTTGCTAAATACTGTGTTCTGTTGGCTAGTCTTTCAACACTCGCTGTTATAGAAGACCACGTGATAGCACCAATAAAGTCGCCAATGAAATAAAAAAAAATGGTAGCAAAATAAAACCACTGGCAGCGCTTGTAATTAACTGCAATAATGACCATAGTTAGATGTGCAATTAACAAACAATTGATTGATTAATTTTAATATGTTTACGTTATGATACCTTTAATGAAATGCCAATTATATTAATAGATATATAACACGTGTTGGTATGAAAGTTTTAGCGTAACCATGGTGACTGCCATGACGACTGCCATGACTTCCAGGTATTCGCTGGGGATAAACTCTCTGGACAATTTAATGTAACATATGCTCTTATATGGGTGTGTCAGTTTCTTCAACCCATACCAATCGGTGACAGTCAGTTTATTCGAGAAAAGTACAATTATTAATTCAACATAACGAAACCGACACTTTCAAAGAGAAATAGAACATGGCAAACACTAAACTCAAATTACAACTAGCACAACTTGTGTTTCTCTTATTATAATGTTAAAGGCGTGTAGTCGTCGCGCCAAGCATGCGCGAGATATGTGCGTCTCATATAAACAAAGTTGTCAACGTTGACTGCTGCATTGTTTTAGGTTATTGGGAGATGTCGAAGGAGTCGCCGGCGGTAATCAGTGCAAGTCGCGTCCAGGTCAAACCTCATACTTGTATTGGAATGTGGAAAAATCAATATTAAAATGTTATCAACACAAATGTCGCACATGCGCAGCGCGACGACCGTCACCCTTTAAGGCTATTTTACTCAGAGATAAAATCATGAATCAGATTTATGCAATGCATCTACTCGATTGATAGATCAAAAGTATGTATATAGAAAACACACAGACATAAGTATGCCCACTTTTGGCATGTTTGTTTATTATTACTGTAAAATACTTTTCGCTTGAAATTTATTTGCGCTATTTTCACTGAAGGGAAGATTCAGTGTAAATAAAATCCAGCTACTATAAATTTTCTCCCTATATTTTACATTCAAATAGTTGAAAATCAGTGAAAATAAATTTCATGCACAACCCCAAACCGTCTTTTCAGTGAAAATTAATTCCAGCTAAAATAAATTATTTTACGGTACTGATCTTACACCGAACAATAGCTCCCTGGACTGTTCAGTCTGTTGTAATATTGACACTCGAGAAATATGTGATTATAAACGTACATCAATGTAACACAAATTGTGCAAAGTAATAACAGTTCCAGTTATTTGGACCCTGTCTTCCGCAATATAAACAATGTATACAAATATGTAGTGGAAAATAAATTAACGAATTATAATTTTAGGTGTATGTATTTGTTATGCTCCCCTTTCTTTGACTACGTCACAGAACATGTTATTATGTTTACTTAGTAATATGATGTATTGTTTTGGTTTATTTTTTACTATGTTCACTGCATTCAGTTATTACTTCTTTTGATACAATGTCATATTTTATTTTCAAATTGTTGCAGTGTTACAGTGTAAGTAGCGTGAGTGTGATTTTGGGAGCCAACATGATAAACATGCACTTGTAGTTGCTCGAAACAAAACGATTTGTAATCTTCGTAATGATATAAAAAAAAACTATCAATACCAAATAAACTTAATGGATATAATTACTATTTGTATGAACGTAATAAATAAAAAAAACAAATGAATGAATTGACTATTTATTGAACTATACAATATTCATTCCCAAGGGTGAAGGTCGGCGGACGCAACAAATAGGCGTCCAGGAAAAGCCCCCCCCCCCCCCCCCACCACACACACTCGTCAGGTTCCGTAGAGGTTCACTTATATTCGAATTCTTTCTAAAAATTTATTTATCAAAGCAGCAGAAAAATACAAATTTAAAGCGGGTGACTTTTTCAAATTACAATTAAATAAAGCTGCCCTTCGTTTATTTCGCTTTTTCATGCATCAGAGTGACACCCGACTTAACACAATGTTTTATTCATACCAGTACCCCAGACCGAAGCGAATGGGAAGAAGTTTTCCCAATCTCGCCGCCGAGAGCACATTAAACGGATGGACAGTTCAAGACAAATGGCAAATGCAAATATTTTTATGGTTTTCTTCTTTCAGAGATATGGCCACACATATCATCAAAAACGACGACTTTAATGATTATTGGAGAGACTTTCACGATCGCGCATGCTCTGAAATGATAATCGCCACACTGTCGACGGTATTTTGACCCGAACTCCCCAAAAAATGTCGGAAAAATATTTATTACTTTTACTTTCGTTTTACTATGTATCATCGACACGTTTGTAGTAGGAAATTTGTGTGTAATAATCATCAGAACCATTGTACGTAAGGATGTGTGGGATAAGGTAGGAGTCTACATTAAGGAAGGTTCACGAAAGGTCATCAATGGTGGCGCAGTTTATCAAACACACAACACAATATTGAAAAAATGGCGACTGCTACCGATCGAATGGATGAACTGGTCCGGGATTATCTACTCTTCAGAGGATTTGCAGGCACACTGAAAAGCCTGGAAAGCGATTTAAAGTCAGACAGAGACAAGTGTTTCAGAGTAAGTATCTTAATTTCTTTAAACTTTGTGTTATTTTTTAAAACCGACATTTGGATTGTAAGTGTCAGTGAGTTTGGATTTATTTTCTGAGAAAAGTGAAATTAACATACCGGTACCCAACAATAAATCGTGTATGGAAATCTACGTCACTATCACCCAAACAATAACAGCACAACCAA